TATATGGTAACATGCGGGATATTCTACAATAGGGTGTGTTCATTGTGTATGCAGTGGGTGGGTATACTGTGTATACTGTGACCCACATAGCCCACAATGCACCTAAGCTAATCAGGCTATACTAGCCTAGCTGTTTACATAAGCTAATGAAGCCAGGTGGAGAACTGCCCAAGGTTGTAGAATGCGTAATTACGCATGCCATGTGCAATAATGACAATATGGGGGGAAAAACCAAAATTGCTCATATGGTAATGGCGGGATATGACATCCGTATTCTATAGAACGGAGTAAAATGTATGGGAAAGTATAGGAAATGGTTTTATATTTCAGGATTGTATGATAATGAACAAGACACTTTTATTAAACCTAATGCCAAGGTAATGCCACTGACACTCTGCTTGTCAAAACAATTAACAGCCATTGTGTGACTGTGTAATCTGTGGGTTTTCTCCTTCCCTATAAGTAGGTGGTCCTTGTGAACATGAGTATTGACTAGGGCTCATGGCTGTGGTACTGGGAATACTACTAAGGCAGTGCCTTTGAAGATAAGCAAAGTAGGCTACAAAATGATTAAAAGTAGGATGTAATGCAATTGAGTAGGCAATGATATTTACACAGTTTCTCTCTCCTAACGCCACACTGATGCACATAGCTCATGGACTAGTGGTTCAGCAGTGAACTAAACAATCACACTTGCTATCACATAGCATCACAAGAGACTACTATATACACATTCCTTATTCTCCCGGTCAAATGTCAAAACTGGGGCACCTCGACAATAGAGAAAGGTTGATATTTAACCCTCGGCGCGCATGCGCAGCGAGGGTTACAGTAGTCGTTCTGTCTGTCTGTCTGTCCGCGCGAGTTCTAGCACTACAGGCTACGAGGCGGCCAATAAGTGGCACCAACGGGTTGTGAATGACGAGAAGATTGATATTAATGTGGCAATTTTCCCGAAACAACTGCGTTCCAGAGATATGGCGTGAAAACAAGCGAAAGAGCTTACGCGAGCGATTCATCGCACACGCGCGTATGTGGGTGTCTCGTTTTGCCGGAGCATCAGACGCGAGCGATCCATCGCGCACGCGCGTATGTCGTTTGCTGGAGCATGCGCATCTGCTAGATTCCGCGTGGTTATTTTAGTTGACCTTGGACGAGCAAGCGGTTTTTTAGTTTCTCTCCTCAGTCATTGTTGATCTCTGTTCTCGATGGACAATAAATTAAGCAAGGTATGTCCGCAATGTAGCACAGCAGTTCACGTTAGACGAGCAGTTTGTGGATGCTGCCATGCCTTCCAATCTAAGCGTAAAGCGCAATCTAAGCTATGAAGCAGTTCGCCGAGGGTTTGCACTTCGCCGTAATGATGTAGCTCCAGTCAGAAGTCATCAGGGAGAGCAGACAATACTTACCTGCCATTACTAGGGTGAACGGAGAAGCATCGGTAAAAACAAAAATGCTTTTAACCAAGCAGAGGCTGTTATGATGAGAACAGTCCTGAAGAATGATTGTGTGAGGGCATCTACAATGGCTCTCAATGTAGGGCTCGACTCCACTTGTTTCACAAACTCATCAATGATATGAAGAAGGTGATCTTGTGAATTACTGTATTGTTGAAGAATCCGATCCACCGTGACTTTCGGCAGGTTTAAAACATGTCCTAAATTTATTTTGCACTACGAGTATCTCTCGTACAACTTACGCATGTGTACCAAGTTTCATCTCCATGTGTGCTGCCGTTAGCAAGTTTGAAGAGTGAAGAAGTAAAGGCCTGAAGCTATCGGTAGTTGTTCAAACAATATGTGGTCATCTGTCATCATGGAAATGATGCCATATATGCATGCGTACCAAGTTTCATCTCCATGAGTGGTACCGTCAGCAAGTTTGAGAAGTGAAGAAGTAATTTTAAGAAAATAGCCTGAGGCAATTTGTAGTTGTTCACAAACATGTAGGTAAACATAGTCGTCATGGAAATAATGTTACACACATGCGTACTAAGTTTTATGTCAATGCGTAGTACCATTGGCAAGTTAGAGTGAAGAAGTAACCTACAACAAATTTGCCTGAGGCTATTCGTTGTTGTTTACAAATATGCATTGTTGTGTTTTTGATAGCGGTCACTGAATACATTGTTTATACAAACTTTCATTACCCTCGGCGCACATGTGCAGTGAGGGTACGGTAGTTAACCCTCGGCGCGCATGCGCAGCGATGGGTTACTGTAGTTGGGTTTGTCTGTCTGTGTGTCTGTTACTCTACATCTCACCTCTCGAATGTCTGTTCATCCCACAAACGATACCATCTACCCAACGGGCGACGAAGGTCAGAAAATAAAGGCGGTTTTCTCTGAAAATGCTCCGTTGCAAAGCTAGAGCGCTTCCACCATTGTATGGCTAATGCCGGTAGTCGCCATTTTATCGCTGGCGATTAATGCGCATGCGCTTATATTTAGCACAGGCTACCTCGACGGGGTCCGCTTGCTCTGTCTATCTTGAAGGCACAAGAAGTCACTACGAATGGCGTGTATCGACTCTCGCGTGCTATCTACTACTGTAGCTAGCCGGCCCGTGTCAGACTCTCTGCGAGCTACTTCGCCGAGGGTTTGCACTTTAGTGCTTTTCATTGGGTCTGTGTGTCTGTCAGTCTGTCTGTGTGTCTGTTACTCAACATCTCACTTCTCCAATGTTCGTTTGTCACACAATCGATATGACTTACTTAACGGGCAATGAAGGTCAGAAATTTCGAGCGGCTTCCTCTGAAAATGCTGTGTTCGAGAGTTACAGCGTGAAACACGAGCGAAAAAGCCAATATGCAAATATAGCACGACTTACCTCTGCCTGATCCACTTGCTCTGCGTACCACGGAGGCACCAGTAGATCCAACACAGGGCATGTATGCTATCAAGTAGTGTAGCTAGCCCCTGTCTCACACTCACCATGAGTATGCACGACCATGAGTATGGTGGTATAACCTAGCCCATTAATTAGTGGTACCGCGCTTGTGTTTACGTGTGCGTATAGTGCGCCGAGGGTGTGCATTTCAGTGCATTCATTTGCATAGCTGTTAGCATTTGCGAGTTACATTAATTAACACACTTGTCCCCATTATAATGTATTGCCTAGGGCCGGCAGGTTATATAGCGCACACGCATCATGTCAGTTTTTCGCCTGAACATGCACATACGCCACATGGTTGTACCTTAAGGTTACTATTAATTGCGGGCACTAATTTTAGCGTTTTTGCACTGAGTGTTTTTGGCGTATACTAATTTTAGCGATTTGTGTCTCCATACTGTAATAAAAATAAGTGTATGCACAGTAATGCATGATGATGACAATTGATAATGATCTCATCCAGTGACTAGCAAGCAAGCCCAATGCCTATGTGTTTTAGTCTGAAGTTGCACAAATCAAAGATGTCAAATTACCTAATACAGGCATTAAATACGTATCCCTCTTCCTCTAATCAATACACATCTTACCTGGTATTAAGAAACCATGAGAGTACAAGTGGATTACTGAATAATAGTTAGACGCTGATTCAAGGTAACTACGCGCAGTAGAAAACCGAGAGCCCCGTATTGTGGCGCCCCGAGAGCAGCGAGCGCGCTACTCCCGGGGGGCGGGGCACAATGTAAACAACAAGATCAACAACTGAATCTACACTGACGCGTCGTCCACGCGCAATTGCAGACCCTCCTGCGTGCACCGTCACGCGCACAACCACAAAATGAAGACGGAGTCGCTACCGCGTGTCTCTGCCGCTTCGCTCTTCTTGCACTGCATTTTCTGGCACTTTGAGCCAGTCTCCATCGAGTTATCGTCAGAGGCGCTCCGCCATACGAACGAACAGGAAAGACAGAGCGTTCGACGTCAAGCGCTCACTCTAAAATAGTTAGACACTGATTCGAGGTAACCACGCGCCAGTAGAAAGAGGGCAATGAAGATGACTCAGGCTCTTCCGATGAAGATTTTTATGTCTAACATTTTTGTTCTATTTAAGCGAATTTTCATTGCGGCACAATTATTAGCGTGCATATAATTTAGCGGTTTTGCTGATTCCCGCTAAATTCGCTAAAATCGCAGTTAATAGTAACCTTAAGGTATACAAACAGTTCTTCTTGAGTGCCTCTCCCCGTTAGTTTTGATCTCTTTTTTCTTTGTTTTAACAAGCTGAGCAAGGTATGTCTGCAATGTAGCATAACAGTTCACGTGCGACAAGCAGTTTGTGGATGCGGCCATGCTTTCCCATCTTCAAAACGTCTGGCAATATGCCGTACACATTGTAACACAGAAGAGCGGATAGATTGAAAAAAGCAAACATGAAAGCCTCTGAAACACCTGAGCAATTGCTCTACCGAGCCCTCTGACACAACTATATAGCCTGTGTTACGGCGAGACTCGTGTTACTGGCTCCGTCGATGACGTATGGCCCAGCATAGATACAGCAAAGCTACAACGCGCGCGTTTTGCGCCGAGGGTTTGCACTTTGGTGCTTTTCATTAACCCTCGGCGTGTATGCGCAGCGAGGGTTACAGTACTAGGTCTGTGTGTCTGTCTGTCTCTCTACAACTATTCTCGCACTACAGGCTACGAGGCGGCTTACGAGCGATACCAACAGCTTCAGCGGTACAGAGGCTAGAGAAATAAAACTACCGCGATCGAGAATGAGAAATCGGCACGGTCGCGGACCACGTTCCGTGGCCCAGCCCATCAAATAGCGGTGCACATGAAGTATTATACGCAGTCCTCCACGCGCCGTGCACAGGCAAAGCGAGTGTGTCTAAAGCCAATATCGGCATGGCTTACGTCAACCAGGTTTAGCCCGCTCAGCGCGTAGTGGAGGGATGTGTGTGCAGTCCAGCGTTGCTCTAACCACTCGCTAACCACTGATGCAGCTAGCTTGTGTTGGGGCGAGAAACTGGCTCTGTCAACGACTCATTGCCCAGCCCATATACGTGCTTTAGTGCTTTTCATTACAAACTGTACTAGTATTTGACAAACCTTTTTCTGGTGCTGTATTAGATGGGGCTGAAGAAGCGTCCATGGCGGGGAGAGTTGCTGAGATCTCCATAATACTAGGGACAGTAGTAGTCTTAATTGCCTCCTCCGTCATAGCTAGAGCTGTTTCACTGGCATCACAGTATACACAGTGTCCATTTATGTCCAGTTGAGTGATGCCAAACTCTTCAAAGAGATCCTTTTTTGGAATGTCTGTTGTTAGTCTCTCAAGGACAGAATTTGGCACGAAAAATGTGACGAGAAAGGATCCTGCCTTTACTTTAGATTTTAACATCAGTGCAAAGTCCCGAAGCTTGTACTGACATGCTAACTGTACTCGGAAGTTTTCAACATCCTGTAGTGTTATTTTATCCGAAATAGGCCTTGAAAACTTTGCTACAATGTTAGAAAATCCCTCTGGTGGCTCGATAACTTGTTCTTCTATCTGACAGAACAGCTTCAGAAGTGTGCAACCCCGGAACTGTCTAAGGTAGCCATTGTAGGATACCATTTCCTTCTCGACGTCGGTTTTGGGCAGAAATTTGCCAATGATATGGTACAGTAGTTGAGGGGAGAGGTAATTCCAGTAGAGATTCAGTCGTGAAATCAGATGTATGGGTTCTTTACATTTTTCAAGTTCTTCTAAATTTTCCTTCAAGTATGACTCATGTTGGGGCTTTTCCGAAGCACTCAGCTGAGTCAGTTTAAGGACAATATGTTTCACATCAACAGATTTACTTTTAAGATAATCAATGACCATATCCTGTAGCTTTTCAAACTTTCTCTCCAGGGTCTCAATATCTGCTTTAATTTTGTGAATATCATCTCCTGCAATGTTACACGTTTTGGAGTATATAGCTATATCACAGAAGTTAACACCACCTTACCTTGACGTCGAGAAATCACTAAGTCAGTAGACGTCTCGGATTGAGATGACACGGAAACAGAGACCTCACTTGTTTCAGGTTGAAGAATAAAACTTTCTGTAGACTGAGATACTGCGGACAAAGCCATGAAAACTGCTGATAAAGAAATGGTACCAGCTGCTATAAAGTTAAGTCAAAACATACCATATAATGCTGCTGTTCTGTCTCATGGTTTGAGCAGCCAAAACCATGCAGAATCGCCATTTACGTATGTCGTATGTCATATGATAGCGGCACGTGGTTTACTGGTTGTACACGAGTGGCCAGTTTTGATAGGGCATGAGGGCGCAGCCCGAGTGGTCTATCAAAACTAAAGCCATGAGTGTGCAACCTGTAGACCACAAGCAAAGCAATCATATAACGTGTTTGTATGATGACATCCTGCGAGAAGGCTCTGACTAATGAGATTGCGCAAAGCTTTCAAAACGCCCACTTTTTAATGCACACCTTCAAGTGCGCGGAGAGAGCTAGCAATCGATCCGGAGAGAGACGGCTGCAATAAGTGCTTTAGTTTAGTCCATGGGCGGCTTTGCAGAGGCCACGGTCATTTCTCAAGAGTTCAAAGTTACAGGTATGTCAAAGCTATTGTTCTTCACTGCTTGACTCCATGTGCAAGCTTTGTAGCTGCCCGTCTGGCTCGCTTTCTCTCCCGCGATACCCAGCACTCTCTAGAATGCAGCCTGTTGTATGGCCTCTTTATGGTATAATGAAAAGCACTGAAGTGCAAATCCTCGGTGAACTGCGCATGCGCGGTACCGCTAATGGACGGACCCGCAGTCTCCGCTAGTAGCTCGCGGAGAGTCTGACACGGGCTAGCTACGGTCGTAAATAGCATGCGGGAGTCGATACACGCCCTTCGCTGTGGTTTCTTGTGCCTCCAAAGTACACAGAGCAAGCGGATCAGGTCGGGCTGAGCCAGCATACTGCGTTGATCGCGTCTAATATACGCATGCACACCGCTTATTGATGGGTTGGGCCACTGAACACGGTCCGCGGCGGTGCCAGTTTGTCGCTCTTGAACGCAGTCGTTTCAGGAAAATCGCCGTTTTAGTTTTCAGGCTCGTGTAATTCTGAAGCTGCTGGTATCGCTAATGGGCCGCTTCGTAGCCTGTAGTGCCAGAATAAGCGTCGACACACACAGACAGACAGACAGACAGAACGACTACAGTAACCCTCGCTGCGCATGCACGCCGAGGTTTAATGAAAAGCACTAAAGTGCAAACCCTCAGCACAAAACACGCTCGTCGTAGCGTTGATGCAAGCTACGTATATGGCCCATGAGTCGTTGACGGAGCCAGTTTAATTCTCGCCCTAACACAGGCTAGCCGCATCAGTCGGTAGCGAGCGGTTAGAGCAACGTTGGACTGCACACACATCCCTCCAGCGGGCTAAACCTGGTCGACGTATGCTATGCCGATATTGGCTTTAGACACACTTGCTTTGCCTGGGCACGCCGCGTGGACGACCGCATACAATACGCATGCGCACCGCTAATTGATGGGCTGGGCCACTCAACACGGTCTGCGACTGTGCCGGTTTCTCATTCTCGATCGAGGTCGTTTCAGCAAAATCGCCATTTAATTTCTCTAGCTCCTGTACCGTTGAAGCTTTTGGTATCGATCGTAAGCCGCCTCGTACCCTGTAGTGAGAATAGTCGTAGACACACACAGACACACAGACCAAGTACCGTAACCCTTGCTGTGCATGCGCGCCGAGGGTTAACTACCTGCACACTCAGCAGGAAGCGCTCACTACGCATCTACGTTGTTTGGACTAGCTGGAATTCCTTGATGTTACTCATACAAAATGAATTAACGTACGCGCGGTTGTCCTTCAATATGGCAGGCGCGTCATTTGGCCATGCCTACTGTTGCATGTGAGTCAGATTCTGCCTCAAGCCAACATTGCTACTGCTCACCTTCTCTAAGTTTCTTTACCAGATCAAACATATACTGCATCATGGGAAAATATATTGACAAACTCGAGAAATAGGCGTTTTTTTTCATCTGAGACACGTATTCTTGCGAACACGGCGTTCATTAGCTGACTTGCTTGTCGAGCAGGCGGAACTCTAGATGTATCGAGTATTCCCTGAGCATCTCTATGAGTGATGAAGGACTTTTCCACCAGACAGTTTGCAAACCATTGAAGAGTTCCTTGGACAGCAGCCACGGTATATGTAATACACACGAGGTTAGTTTTTAGTGCCGTGATCTCGACGTGTTCTCCGCCCGTTTCAGCCATCCCCAGCTTCCAGAAACAACGTCAGCAAGTTAGGTGTTGTTTGACCTTCGGTGACCCTCGCCGGGCCACACACAGTATACGCCCCGCCCACATAGAGCTATAATTAATTACGCGTGTCGCTTACTCACGCATGCGCAGGGTCACGGTGGAAGCGCTAATAAGTAGCAGGGGGGCGTTGTCCTGATGCAGTGCCTTTCGCGCACTTCGGGTTGATCTTTCTTGCTATGTAGGTTTGTGCGGACTAGAGAGGTAGTAGCTCTTCACGGTCCAATAGGTTTAGCCTGTGGGTTTTTTCTACTGTTGTGCTCTACCCAGCTATGATGTAGCTTATCTAATGCCGAACAAAGTGAGCCCGTCCCTGCCATCCGGGATATTGAGAGCAAGAAAACAAGGAAAATAGAGGTTAAGTACCTACCAACCTACAAAACCTTTGCTTGAGAAATGTGTCAAATTTGCTTGATTTGGAGTAGTTTTGCTCGAAAATGCTGCGAGTCCATTAAAAATGTATAGGCATGATGCATCACAGGTTAGCACAGAAAAGAGGGATTTGGCGATTTTCTGGTGGGATAGGCAGTATTTTTGCTTGATTATCAAGCAAAAAGCTGGATGGTTGGTAGGTATATAAGCCCATTTTCCCGACAGTATATACAGAAAAACGCCAACAATTATCTGTGGAATTGTGAAATACACTTAGTTATCACTAAGTACGGTATATAGTACTTAGTATATAGGGATGGGCATTGTACCTAGCATCATAGATGTATGGGGCTATGATAGTTCATCTTCTCCTCCTTCTTATTATCCTTCTTCAGATTCAACACCCAACTCAAGCTAACTCAAAAACGAAACAACATACAGTAAGTAAGAATGTAGATATCCATCACCCGAAGAGACTGGTCATACTTATTTGTTTGTAAACAACAACAAATAGCCCCCCAGGCCATACATTAATGGGATCACATGTGTCAGTATAACTCACAAATGGTAAGAGCTATGTGAACGAAACTTTGTAGACATAATGTATTCAATCACCAACGTCAAAATACAACAATACATGTTCGTTAACAACAACAAATAGCCTCAGGCACTTTTCTTTAAAGTTATATACTTCTTCACTCCTCTAACTTGCCAATGGTACCATGCATTGACATAAAACTTGGTACGCGTACATGTAACACCATTTCCATGATGACTACATGTTTACCTACATGTTTGTAAACAACAACAAATAGCCTCAGGCAATTATCTTAAAATGGAAAAAACAAATGTTCTACATTAAAATGAGGCCCTCTACAATAGGTGGCCACAAGCCCTGACAAAGTGGACCACAGTTATTTTTTTGGTATGCAATGGGCACTGCACATACTGCAGTGTTCTATGGAATTCTAAATACGCACGAAAAATTGAACGTCGTTCTACATACATGAACAGCTCACACTCGCTCGCTGAAAATGTGTGGCATTCATTTAGTATCTAATGGCGGCATTCACATACAGTAATGTTTACTCATGCAAATATACACGAGAAATGATGTGTTGCTTTTGGTATTAGTTAATGTACCCGCGCGAGTGCGCCTCGTGCTTTATTAGCCTCTCTACGCATTCCTCGTACGTTATATCCGGTAGTGCATGAGCATAAGCGGGTACATTAACTGATTTAGTGTGAAAATACGGAGCGTTTGAAAAGCGAAGTGGAAAAATGGCGGTTCAGTCAGCGCGGGCGATGCTACGAAGCGTTTGACTTGGGCATGGGAGACTGGACGGACGAGCAGGAGGAAACGTTGGTACAGCCTCCTCCTCCCAAGAATAGGCTACGTCTCTCTCTTGGCAAGGAAGCGCGCCCTCTGCGAGACACCACAAATCTCCGTTTTGCTGTGCCCGCGAGTACTGCGGAGCTAGAGAACGCAGCCGAAGGGCCCTCCTCTTCTACCGAGTCGGTTCCGTCTGACCTGTTGATGAGCCACGATGCAGATTTGATGTATGCCGTTTCGTGCATTTCGCATTTCCAACTGATCTGTCAGTCACTCTCTGCATTTGTATAGTACATAGTACATCAAACAGTGTTGTCTAAACTATGAGCCAATAAAGCACTGGAGGAAAGCACTGCCTGAACAAGCAGTGCTCAATATGGCAAATAAAGCACTCCTTTTCCTTTGATGTTTTGTGACAGAGTACACTAATTCTTTAAAGTGAGTTTGAGCACATAAAGTTACAAGTGGAAAATAATTTGAATGGGGATGTAGGGATGACACATCATAAAAAAGATGGGAACAAGAAGATGCCTACACTGAGACAGGAAGTGATTCATAACCCCATCCCTACATCTTTGTTTCATACTAGCTTAAGCAGTTTAGCTATGTATACTCATGTATTTATAACGTATGAGCGATTTCTCGAGTGGAGAGGCACTACGGTGCTTTGGAGACTATCACAAGATAAATTATGGGCCTGTCTGTGATTTTGGCTTAGTTTTCATGCTAGCCATTCTCCGTTTTGTAGGCGGATCACATGAGATTTCACTCATGCCATCCATACATAGAGCGTTTACCGACGCTATGATGATTATGCCAAGATCCTGAAGGTACTGTGCGACCCTCTGCCTATGCCAGCAGATCTCTACAACCACATTACGGGTCACAGAGCTGGAGGGGCTTGGCGTTGTTCGGAGCGGTCAACCACTCTTGCCCCTCACTTGTACGGCCATCGGTGTGAAGTCTACGCAGATAACTCTGTATTGACATAACTGCTAAGTACACTGCAACCATGGGGAATAGCGATTCAAGAACTTGACAGGCAGATAGGATTTGCTGGGGCACAGCAAAGCCCAAT